CCCTGCAGGCTCGGATCCGAAGGTTGCGGACTTGCCGGATCCTTGGTCATTATGTCTGGATCCGGGGATTCTGATGCTAGTGCTAGCTAGATTCATGCCCTTCTCCATCGCAGCATAGTCGATCTCCCTCAACTCGTACAGCACAGACGCGAAAATCGCGTAATCTTCAATGAAGCGACTGTAATAGTTGAGGCTGCCCAAAAAGGATTGCATGGCACGCAGGGATCCGGGAAACTCGAGATCCGTCAGCGCCGACAGATCCTTCGGATTCGCCTCCAGTCCGTCGTGCGATACCTTGTGACCGAGATATTCCACGTTGGGCATGCCCCAGAAACTCTTGACAACGCTGATCGACAAGTTCCATTTGTCGCACGCCTCCAGAAGATCACCGACTCGGTCACATAGCTAATCCCAGTTATCCGCTGGTACTAAGATGTCGTCGATATAGGATCTGCGTCCTAACACCGATGGTTTGCCCGGACCTTCAGGTTCTCCGGCCTCGAATACATCCAGACGCTCCAAATCGCCGGCCATTTTCGGGATCCGAGTGAACCCATACAGGGCATTGTCGATCATCCGCTGGTAGATCTGCGGCGCATTCTTCAGCCCAAAAGGCATCCGATTCCACTCGAAGAGTCCAAATGGGGTAATAAAGGCCGAGATCAGGCGGGCCCGATCCGTCATCTTCACCAGCTCGCCATATCCAGTGAGCAATACCATAGTGTAGACTCGAGATCCTCCAATAGATCGTTGATCAGCGGCATCGGGTAAACCATCAGCTGTGTAAGACTGTTAACCAACCGAAAATCAATGCACAATCGTATATCCACACCATTCTTCTTGATGATCAGGACGATCGGCGATGCCCATGGAGATCTTGAGTGGTTGATCATCTTGGCCGACAGGAGACCCTTGATCAACTCTGCCAACTTTTCTCGGAACTGGATCCGCAGCTTTCGACACTTAAGCGCGATCGGCTGAGCTCCTCCCACATCGATATCGCACACAACCCCTTGGGCTGCTGGTGGGAGCGCATTTCCTTTGCCGATCAGGAGATGTCTA